GCAGGATTTGGCTGGGTCTCCAGGGTTCGGCCATTGCGAGGAGCGCTTCCGATTATCGTACAGTATCCACTTTTCATCACAAGACATGATTCGATTTAAAATCTCTTTATTATTGTGTCGGTTGAGCAAAGTAACACAGCAGTCGACGCGTGTTTGCAAGCTCGATTCACTCAATTCATGAGGTACCAATCGTTCAAGTTTTTTTAATTTCCTGATTTGCTTCAAGTGGATTAATACAGTTTTATCACTTACCCCGAAGCCTGCAGCTATCTCTGAAGTGCTTTGTGATGTATCCGCTCCACAATAGCCTTTAATTTTTCATTTTCCACTTTGTCTCCGGCCGTCCATGGGGTTGGTTCTGAAGGTCGAAATTTCCAGAACAAAAACGTTGAAACCAAAAAAGTACCGTGCTTTCTTTTGTGACACCAGCGCCGTACACAGCATTAATCCTTCGAGCTGTTTCTGCAGCACTGGTGCCACGGTAGAACTCGTACTCGTAAATATACCGATATTTCATATTTTCCATTGTAAGGTAATAAGCGACGCCAAAGAAAAAAATTAATGAGGAAAAAACAAATGAATGACTGTTTTCAAAACTCAAATGTACCAGCTAAATGAATTTATAAATTTGAATTTGGAATTCTTAACCAAAGAGGATCAAAGTGGCCAGTACGACAAAACGCTAATTTAATATGTAAGGACCTAATATTTAAAGGCGGGCGCCTGTCTCCTGAGCTACCACGGCTCTTTATTGTTATTTATTTTAAAATGAAAAAGCAAAATAAAATTTGCAATATTTCTATTTAAAATACAACAGTGATTGACTACAATCCTATCTCATGGTATGGTGTGATCTAGTTATTTACTCTTGCCTGAAAGACGCTTTCGTTGTAAGCAATAAGTCGTAATAAGTCGCCGTACGTATCATGAACACTGAAGTAAACCACTTGGTACAAATGCGTGTTATCTCAACTATATCGTTTACTGTTACCGTTACCGTTACAGGCTATTAAAGTCTTCTTCTGAACATTGGCCACCTCCATATATTGCCTCATTTTTGCCATGGTTGCCACGCTTGGCTAGCGGGTTGTCAACCGCAGTTTTTTTTTACTTTAGTCGTTATTAGGAAGACGCTGCTGCCCATTCTCTGATGTCAACTTTAAAGAGTTAAGAAATCAACTCGTTGTTTGATTGTCCGATAGTCAAAAGAGGGAAGAGTTATATAATTTCTCCGGACACTTTCTTAAATTTATCCCGTGGAATACCAATCGGTCTTTGTATTATAAAACCATAATAAGAATCAAAAAATTAAAATTATTAAACATCTATAAACACATTTCTTTTTAATTTATTAACATCTAATGGAACAATGATTTCTTATATTTACACGAACATTAGACATTTGAATAAAACTAGTTTCTTAAACCATGGGTGCTGTAAAGTGCTCGAAACATCGGGAATATAAAATAAGTTATTAACTTATTTTATATTCCCGATATATATAATGTACGCGATAAAATCCGTAGAACTAGTTGTATTTAAATATAAATATAAACAATATTAAAAATACTATGATAAAGAAAAACTAAAACTAAAAACTTAAATTATCAGACAGTTCCACTCTCCGCGGTATTGTGTCAAGAAGGCTGACTACGTTTCTTCGCTGAATGGCTATACTTAGCCTTTTAGTGAAAAAAAACCAGCCCTCTTATCACCAGAAGTAACGAGCAGTCGCAGATACAGTTCCTTTAAGAACTTTAACGCTCGTGGCATAGATCCGTGGACCCCACGGACCCATAGTCTCTACAGCAAATGGCACAAATATGTAGTCATCTCTTAGAGACTCATATTTGCGCCACTTACCTAATTAAGCTGCCTCTGATACCGCCCCAGCTCTCAACAAGGTACTCTTGAGATGAGAGGATGCTAAAATGTCTACCCAAGTAGCATCCGACATGCAGGCAGGCTTCACCTCCCTCTCAAGGGCCCAATGGCATACCGTCGGGTCTCTTGCCATCGTCTCTAAATACTCCACAAGGCTTTAAAACTGAGGGAACATTTATAGAGACAAGAGATATTCGGATGACATCGTTCAACGAACCGTAACGGGAAAACGTATTTCTTACATGAAAGTCTGTGGAGCACAAACTTTTTGATGCTGCTACCGCACGGGCACTGATGAGGTTGACAAATTGATCTATATTTTTCTAAAACATTTTATTTACGTATCTCTAACGATAACACCAGCGTACGCGGATAAATCATTTCGGGAGTGCTTTTTCTTCTAACTTGCTTAACAAATATCCATATTTAAGGCTAGCTGAGTGATATAGCTTAATGTTAGATAGCCTATACTATTCCACATGAATCTGGCTATAATACACAAAAAGAATTTTTCAAATCGGACTGGTAGTTCCAGAGATTAGCGCGTTTAAACAAACAAAAAAACAAAAAAACTCTTCCGCTTTATTATATTAGTATAGATAAGTCACTGACACTATGCACAGAAGCAAGGAAAGCATGTCTGCTTTCCTTTTCATTGCCATGCAACGCTAAAGGATTTTTACACCAATACCACTAAAATTTACAGGTAAAGTAGCTTGAGTCGAGCTGTTGTATTTAAAGTTAAATTGAGAATTTTTCCTAAAGCTATTTTAAGATAATATCTTTTAAAATATCCGAATATTTCCTAACATTACTCGAGCTTAGTATGTAAATCTAGATACAAGAAGACACTACTTTAAAATAATAAGAGCAATGTGCGGGTTTAAGATGATATCTTTGTAAAATGATATATTGCGTAAAATAGCAGATTAACGCTGCTGTGTTTCGTATGGTGAGTGCAGAGAACCGGAGACCCTTTTTACTGGAAGCGAGGTATTCCATCTTAGTCCTCACGGGTGACAACGCATCTGCATTTTGATTCGTAATCGAAGATAGATGTAGATGTCTATGGGCCACAGCAACCACTTACCATCAGGTGGACTGTGTGCTCGTTTGTCACCCTTATCCTACAAAAAAATAACTCGATAGAAAATATATGTATACGAACTTTGCTAAAGCAAGAGCCGTTGAATTATTAACTATTATATAAATATTATACAATTTATCAACGTGGTTTAAAAACTGATCAACTTTTGTTTTTGAAACAGGTTTAATACTATCGAAAAACAACGGGACACCTAGCAGGTATAGCGTTTCCGCACTGACAGTTTATATTCCTTGAGAAATATGATTGAAATTTTGAATTAAATTTTCTCTTTTAGAACTAGATAAATAATGGAAAATAAATATTTCACATAATATATTGCTATTTGGTTCAAGGCCAATATTTTTAAAATTTTGAAAAATATGAGTTAGATCACTAAGGACGGCATTTGCTTTACCTCCCAGTGTATACCGTCGTCCAGGTACTAGACATTCAGGTTAGATTTAAAAATTTTAATAATGGGTTGAATTGGGAATCTAGTTGGTCACTCTGCTAAATACCGACAGCAGATTAACATAAAAAATATTCGTTTTTTTTTCAATCATTTATCGTGGGTTAACTTATATATATATATATATATATATATATATATATATATATATCTTTCTATATAAAAACTAGCTGTCACGTTGTTTTTCCGCGATGGACTCTTAAACTACTGAACTGATTTTAATGAAATTTTGCACACTGTGTGCATTTTTGTCCAACTTGCGAATTTAAGGATTTTTATAGGAAGGGTCGTTGGAAAGGGCAGAACAACGTCTGCCTCGCCAGCTAGTATATATATATATATATATATATATATATATATATATATCTTCTTGACTATTTGTGATCCGAATCTCAAGATTCGTATAATTTGTCGCAAATCAGAACTACTTAACTTTAAGTTTGATTAAAAGAATCGAAGTGCTAATTACTTAGTAACTGAAAACTATTACTTTTCTGCTTGTGGGGTATGCGAAATAGCGGAGTGACGATAGTCAGGAGTTGTTAACTCTAGAACGTCGAACACCCGTCCCAACCGTAATCATGAACGCTACAAATCACTCAAAACTTCGGGAATATACGTGTAAGAGCCACGCTGCAGCTAGGTTGTAGAACGAATGGGTCGGCTCGACCGGGGCAGTACCGCGCTCGTACAGAATACCAGCCTTTAATAGCAGCTTAATGCTGCTGTGTTTCATATGATGAGTGTAGAGAACCGGAGATCATTTTAACTGGAGCGAGGCATTCTATCTTAGCACCTGCATCTGCATTTTGACACTTAATTGAGGTTGAATGAAGATGTCTGTGGGTCACAGCATACTCTTAACATCAGATGAATTGTGTGCTCGCTGGTCACTCTTATTCTATAAAGAAAAAGGAATTTGAAATAAATTAAAGTTAACACTACATAAGCATTAAAATTATTTGTATTCAATCAAATTAAAAAGTAAAACTAATGCGTACGTCTTTGCAGGCTTCTCAGGCGTCGTCTTATGCACCCTTTGCAGCCTATACAAATTTATTGCCGATCGTAGGGCTCACTCATGGATTGGATTCTGTCACAGTTGCTACGCTTGGCAGCCGGGTTGGCAGCTCCAGTTCGCTTTTTTATTCAGCTGTTATCGGGAAGATGCTGCTGCCCATCTAGTGTTTCAGTTTCCCTCTGTCTGTTTACGATACTCACGAGACGATATGGGGTAGTAGATATTTTAGCACCGCCGCTACACGGTTGGAAGGGAATGTATATTATGTTCGAAAAGGAACTTATATAAAACTAAACATACCCTTTTCCTTAAAAAGAAATGCAGATTCATGAAGCAGCCGATGCTAATTGCCAATAACCTTGACCCTCCGTTGCTGCACGAACACCTATATTTCATTGGTATTCTAAGGCGCATCGACTTAATTTCCCAACAGAAGGCAAAGTATGTATATAATGCGAAAGAGCCCACTTTTCCACAACACATTATCGTTCGCTTTTGCGCTCAATTGTTTTGTCTCAATTTAACTCAATCAAAACAAAATGTTCAAGTTGGTAAGTACAGTACAAATAAATTAACCAAAACTTTGTTGTCAGTTTTAGTTAGTTTATTTGTCATGTCTGTTTCACCCTTCTATTTTAACTAAACAATATCCTGTGGTTGTAACAATTACTTAATTATTCGGGGTTATGTTATTGTCTAAAGGACCGCACAATAGACTGATTTAACAATAACGTAAATAGTATATTATTTACGTTAACAAACAATAACTAAATGTCAGTGCCAATTCATTTTCATTGACCTCATTGAATACATAATTCTCTGCAATATTAAATAAAATTATTCAATATATTGAGTGCGAATTGTTCAATAAGTGCGTAAGTATTTAAAACGAATACTTTCTTTTTGTGATTGATTGTGATGAAGAAGTTTTTTTTTTATAAGCTAGGGTGACAAACGAGCACTCAGTCCACCTGATGGTAAGTGGTTACTGTGACCCATAGACATCTACATCTATCCTCAATAAAGACTCAAGATGCAGATGCGTTGTCGCCCGTGAGGACTAAGATGGAATGCCTCTTTGCCAGTAAAAAGGGTCTCCGGTTCTCTACACTCACCATACGAAACACAGCGGCGTTAAGCTGCTATTTTACGCTGATTTTCTGTGAGAGCGTGGTCCTTCCCTGGTCGAGCCGACCCATTCGTGCTACAACTATACTACTAATATAGCTGCAGCATGGCTCTACCACGTAATCAAATTTTTACTTGTCTTCTATTATATAAGCTAAATTCAAATATTACATATTCGTGTTTTATTTACAGTTCATCTTCATGTGCTTCCTTGCCCTGGCTGCCGCTAAGCCCGGCGTGTATTCAGTAGCCTACACCGCACCAGTGGCAGCGGCGTACACTGCGCCTGTGGCTGCAGCGTACACTGCACCCGTGGCTGCAGCGTACACTGCACCCCTCGCATACTCCGCCTACTCAGCCTACACCGCGCCCGTAGCTTATTCAGCATACACTTACGCTTCTCCCTACTCTTACTTCTTACGTCGTTGATTAAAGCTTAATATTATATGTTTATCTGTTAATGACAAATAAACTACTAAACAGTTATTTTTGTTTTAATATATTACATGATGTAAAAATACCTTAATTTTAAACGGTGAAGAAACAATAGTTTTATAACCCTTTAATTTTTTTTAAATGTAACACACATCCAAAAACCTAAAACATTCCTTAAAGCATGGCTCCGGTTGTTATTTTAATTTTATCAAAATACTTAAGCGCACCGTCTACCTGATAGTTAGTGAATGCTACTAAACAGCAACACCTACAGTTTCCATTGTACAGCGTGGTATCCCTGAGGTCAAATAAGGAATGCCTCATTTTTTTATAGAATAAGGGTGATAAACGAGCGCACAGTCCATCTGATGGTAAGTGGACAGTGTCCTCCCTCAGGACTAAGATGGAAAGCCTCATTTCTATGTAAAAAAGAGCCTTATACATGCTTACGTATGCTTACACCTATTGTTTGAATTAACTCAATTTGCCAATTTTCATCATCGCTATCTCGAAAATTAATAATATAAAAAAAATCTAAATTAATAGTAATTTCCATTGACATTATCTTAATAGTCAAACCACTATTTTCATTTTTTTACCCGGACCAATAAGACTTATGGACCTTCACGAAAAGAACCTATTCCTTTTTAGGGTTCCGTACCCAAAGGATATCACACGGGATCCCATTACTAAGCCTCCGCTGTCCGTCCGTCCGTCCGTCTGTCAGCGGGCTGTATCTCATGATCCGTAATAGGTAGACAGTTGATATTTTCACAGAATGTGTAATATAATAAAAATAAATTAAAAATTATAGGAGCTCCCATACTAGAAACGTGTTTTAAGATTACGGAACCTTTCATGCGCGAGTCTGATTGCACTTGGCCGGTTCTTAAAATGCTGGCAAACACCAGGAATTGTAGGAAAGTGCAAGGGTGACGACGGTGGTTACTTACATGACAGTAGGCCGCATTATCGTTTGCCCCCTGTTCAAAGAATGGATTTTACGGACTCATAAAGAAGGATATAATAGTGAGTTTTAAAAGTAATTTTAGGATGAAAAATAAAATACTGATAGTAATACAATATTTTAAAATTTATTTATGATCATACATATTTATACCTTCCTAATTAATCTTAATGATTTACATGAATATATTTATATTTTTTTAATTTTATATCCCGAGGTAATTAAATACCGGTAAACCCGAACCAACGTGATTATGAGCTCTATGTCCTGGAACCTTTGGACTTAGAAAACTATTTGACAAATCAGATGAGCTGACATTTGCAGGTGTTCTGTACGGTTCTAAGCCGTATAAATTATTTTGGCTTAATATAAGACCCTTGGCTGGATCTAAGAGCCCTGCATGTAGTTGGAAGGCATAATTTTGTCCAGAAATGACGAAAATGGCAAACATTATCTGTAAAATAAGTATAAAGACTATTTAAAGACATCATTCATAATGCAAGAACATTATAAGGAGAATCATGCAAAAATGTACGTTATTTTTTGTGAATTGAAATTTTAAAAAGCCACCAATATAAAAATCGGAATTTGAGAAAGTAATTTTATGTATACTTTGCAAATATACTTATATATGATGTAATATATCATTAAGTATTAAATAAAAACAACCGCTTTAAAAGCGCTAAGATAACTTTTGTTGATATACGTTTTTATATTAATAAAAATAATGCATACTTACAATGACTAACATGGCTGTCGTTTACGTTCGTGACGTTAAAATGAATGCAACCAACACTTACACACTGCTACAATAATCTCAGTACAGCAATTTATAATGCGTTTATCACCAACTTTATTACTGGCAACACGGCTTATTAGTCACAGACTAAATTACATTACAGCCCGTTTTCACTAGTCGGAAGTTAGCTCTGGGTTTTACTCGGATGACTGATTATTTTTTCACTGCTTGTCGGTTCTGGCCGTATATATACTTAGTAGAGGATTTAGCTTAAAAAACTACCCCCTCATTCTTTTCCTTGATGATTTTTTTTATAATAAAATATATAAATAAATATACAGCCGGATGGTTGACAGCCTACGCTTTGGAAAGGTTTTTAATTTAAAAAAAATTATTTACCGGTTACGGTCATTCTTTTCCTTGCGAAATTGGTCTCAATCGAAAAAAAAATATAGTAAATGCCGCAGAATGGTTGACTACCCTTTTACATGCAACAATACCTATCTACCAGGTCTAAATAGGTAAACTGATATAGTAAATTACCCTCATTCTTTTTCCTAAAAACTTAAATGTGCAAATATACATATTTTTATTGCGAATCCAATGGTATATAGTTGATTTTTCAAATCGTGGTGAGACTAGTGATTGATACTATATATTATTACGTGCGGTAGGGAAGTATGCACGATAGCAGCTGCGCGTGAGACGCCTGCTGGAAAAGAGAAAGGCGCGCGTTCAGGTCTCTGTATAAGAGATTAAAATAAATATATTCTCCCACCGAAAATTATTTTGAAGCATACCACGGAAGTATTCACTTTAAAGAGAATTCTAACTTTATTTAACAAAATTAAAGTTATATCGACTTACCTTTTTAAATTGTATATATTATACTAATCAAATAAAAAAATTAAACAATTTATATAAAATTTAACGTTAAATTAAATATTAAACAGTTAAAATTGAAAAAAAAAAGTAAGTCAGTTAATGGTTCTAAAAATAATTTTTAGTTTTCAAATTATTAACCATTACTACTATACAAAAATTTCGCTATATTACGCTATGAGCGCGCTATTCATAAGAAAGCGTCTGGGAGGCCGGCAAGCGCGTAAAGTTTTGCAGCACGCTATATCTCGTAGCACGTTATATTACATGTCGTTCGTTGGATATACCGCGTGCTATATAAGAATATTACGAGAGGATGTCAAAAAGTTCGCGGAATGACAGGGAAGGATAACGAAATGAAACATTAAACTATGTTTCTTTTTCAATGTATTCTCTCTTAACCCTAATACATTTATTAGATCTGTCAAATAACTTATTAATACCGTCTAAAAAAAAAAGATTTGTTGTTTTAGATGTCAAAATAAGCCGAAATTGCCGACTTCACTTCATCATAGTCGCCAAATTTTTTTCCACACAGTTCTTCATTTTTGGAAACAAATAATAGTTACTTGAGGCCAGGTCTGGGATGTAGGGTGAGTAACGCAGTTGTTCAAAATCGCACCGGTGAATAGCAGCCGTCGCAACGTGGCTTGTGTGCACGGGCGCATTGTCGTGCAAAAAGAGCACGCCTTTTGTAAGCTTTACTCGCCTTTTTTCTTGAATAGCTTCTTTTAATTGATCTAGTAAAGAAGCGTAGTATTCTCCCGTTATGGAAACACCACGTTTCTTATAATACATCAAAAGGATACCTTCTGAGGCTACCGATTGAGACGCCTTATACTTCTTAGGAGGAGGTGTGCCTTTTTTATGCCACTGCAACGACTCTTGCTTAGACAGGTTCATATTGGTGAATTCAAGTTTCATTGCCAGTTACAATTCGGGCCATAACTTCCTCCGTTTGCTCTCCACAGCGGTCCAAATACTCGCGACAACTTTCGACGCGCTCGTGTTTTTAATGCGCAGAAAGCATTTTCGGAACCCATCTTGCACAGACTGTAGTCATACCAAGGTGTTGATTTAGGATGTTTAAAATGATGGTTTCTGATACTTCAACTAATGCTGCAAGCTGTTTTTGCTTTAAACGGGCATGTTCCTAAACAAGGTTTTCAACTTTTTCGATTATTTCTGGCGTGGTAGCCTCAATCGGCCGTCCAGATCGAGGTTCGTCTTCAATGGAGTCCTTCCCTTGTTTGAAAAGGGCATGCCATTTATAAATCATGGTTTTCTCAGGAGCGGAGTCCCCATAAACAGCTGACATCTCTTGAAAAATAGTTTCAGGTGTCTTTCCTTGTTTGGTGAGAAACTTAATGATGACGCAATATTCAATTTTCTCCTTAGTGGCTAGTTCCTTCCCGATAGATTTGTTTACTCGTTGATAACTCAAACGCTAATGACCCGATAAGGTTGATACTTGGTATATATACTAACAAAGAGTCACTCAACTAGCCCCTACTGGATGAGTAAACTCAACCTCGCCACCCCGGCATTCTGCGAACTTTTTGACCTCCCCTCGTATTTCGTAATAAGTCGCATTTTCCAAGTCGCAAGTCCACTCCCAACAGCGCGCACGTGACAGCTAGATACCAGTGCTGCTGCTAGAGCTATTTGCTGCTAGATATTCATAGAGCCAAAGCGCCATAGTGCCATGGCGGTTTCTTATACATAGCACGCGCTGTGCGCTATGGAAAGATAGCGCACTATAATATGGCTCTATGCGCTATATTAGCCACCATTACTCCAGAATAATTTTAGATGGAACAATATATTTATCTTTCTCTGTTACAAAGAGAACTGGACGCGCGCCTTTCTCTTTTCCGGCAAGTGTCTAACGAGTAGCTGGTATCGTGCATCCTGCCCTACCACACATAATAATATATATAGTGTCATCTGTCACACTCTACTTTAAAATAAAATTATTGAAACGTTAAATCGTGTCAATCACTACTCTTGCCACTATTTGAAAAGTCAACCATATACCATTGGGTTCGCAATAAAAATATCTATGCTTACACATTTAAGTTTTTAGGAAAAAGAATGAGGGTAAATTACTACATCAGTTTACCTGTTTACACCTGGTAGATAGGTATCGCTGCATGGAAAAAGGTAGTCAACCATGCTGTAGCATTTTCTATATATTTTTTTTCAATTGAGACCAATTTTGTCAAGGAAAAAATAACGGTAACCGGTAAAGAAAATTAATAATTTTTAATTAAATATAGCCTTGCCAAAACATAGGCTATCAATCACCCCGATTTGTATTTAATTATATATTTTTAAACCGGATCTAAGACATTTTTTATATAGGTTCAGGGTGACAATCGAACACAGTCCACCTGATGGTAAGCGGTAGCTGTGGCCCATAGACATCTACACCTATCCTCGTTTCCAAATCAAAATGCAGATGCGTTGTCAGCTCTGAGGACTAAGATGGAACGCCTCTTTTCCAGTAAAAAGGGTCTCCGGTTCTCTACATTCACCATACAAAACACAGCAGCATTAAGCTGCTATTTTACGTAGGTATTCTGTGAGAGCCTGGTCCTTCCCCGTTCGAGCCGACCCATTCGTGCTACAACTATACAATTACTATAGCTGCAATTAGGCTCTACCACGTTAAAAAAAAGACTAATAGCAACAGGTCGGAGCGACAAGATTAAACAGCGTAACAGCGCAATACAGTGCATCCAAGAAAATATAAGAGAGCTAACAAATAATAGATGTAATTTTAATGTCGACATCTCCAAATACAATGTTATGCCCCTAGAACAGACGAATTTTCGTCCAGCCGAACAGCAACGAGTGAAAACGGACTCTTAGTTTTTAATGAACGTGAAAATAATCAATCAATTTTAGGTCACTAATACGTGTTTTTGTTGAGTTAAAGTGATCGTTCTAGACTTTTAAAACAACAGACATCAACAACTACAGAAAAAATACCTATAACACTGTAACCTTTTTTCGAACTGTTTGCTTTTCGTTTCTATACCGTTTGAATGTTTACAGAGTAAATATGAAGCAATAAGCTAAAATAACAAAAACTTGTATGTCGTCCCTAAGTTAGCTCAATAACCTAAAATTTTCACTCGTGATTTACTGCAAATTTATTGCTAACTTATTGGTGTATTTTAAAATTTGGTACAAAGAAACCTGTCTATCAGCTTTGAGTTCTCCCAACAGGATTCGTCGTTCGTAGTATGCACACAAAAGGGGTAGAATATTTTGTCAGTGCCTGTTTTTCTATCTAATAATTAATGCATTTTTTGTTGATTTTAAGCAAAGCCAGTGCGCTTTAACATATTCGGCCTTATCACCACTTATCGTCAGTTTTAATAATAACTAAAAACCAAACAATCGCTTATTATTATTGGTAAAATTAATCAATGAATGTAATTTTATCATATTTAACATACATTAAAAATAATTAGTCACATTTTCTCTATGGTAATAATTACGAAGAAAACATTTCTTAAATCATATAAAGCTAAACTAATTTAAGTGCATTTTCACAGTATAAATTTTTTGTTACTTCATCATCTGACCTAGTTACAGATAAATCTTGCACTCTTAGACGCCACTCACCTTTTTCTTCCCTAAATTAACAATCCGTAGTTTTTTTGCTTCTCCCCTGTCATCTTCGTATGTTTGTACTCTAAATGTGATTTTTTTCTTCACTTTTATGGCAATATTCGTCACTTTTCATCAAACTGTTTATGTTCTTGAATTGTGATTTTTAATCAAGGATAGATGTTGATGAGATGTCTATGGGCTTCAGCATTCACTTACCACTAAGTGGACGTGTACTGCTTTATCACCCTTACTCTATAATAAAAAGTAAAATCGTAGGTACAAACCAAATCTGTGTCATATCCTAAAATTTTCCTCGCACGAATAATTTTTAAATGCTATTTTTCTAATATGTATTGGCAAATGACTTGAGAACCTCTAAGAATAGAGCCTACTTTTTTCTCAAATTCTAAAACACATCTGCAGTGTAGCAGTTGATCATAGGTACGGAGATAAAGAGATTACTACGCAGTAAGCGTGCGGTAAGTTTGTCCAGTCTTGTATAAAAA